CAACATTTTTCAATTCTATTTTTTGTATTTACAATTTTTTACACGTTCACGTATGTGAATTTATAACAAATTTAAATAATATATACTTGATAATTATTTTAGAATTTTGATATTTTATTTGTAAAGATAAATAAAATGTACATATATAGGTACATAGTAATATATAGGATACATACTTAATTTGTATTATTTAAAAAACAATATTTGAATAATTTAGGAATCAATTCTTATATATAAAATTTGTTTTTTTTTTTGTTAATTTTAAATTTACCAACTGTTACGTTAATAGTAAAGGTTATTTTTTATTATAATTTAACCCCTTACATTTAGCAACGTCAAAGTAAATTCAAAAGTTATGTTTCAATATAATTTAACTATAATACAAAAATATTGGTAACGTACTTATAAGATAAATATTTGGTATTTTTATTGTTAATTTAAACTCTTAAAATTACCTAAATTTATCTCAGTAAATAAAATTTTGCCAATTAACAAAATCTAAAAAAATATTACCTAAATAAAGGTATTATATTATACTTAAAGTAAACAAATTGAAATATGACAAAAAAGCTTAAACAAATATATTGCCTATATTCAATATATTAACAATTTTCTAAATACCACAAGATAATACAAAATTTAAATCAATATGAATAAAAATCTAAAAAATCCTATTTAAATAACTAAACAAAATATAACATAATCTAAAACTTACAAAAATTAACAATGAAGAGCAGTTTAAGGTATTTTAAAAAGAAAAAATATTGCCTATTAACAACAATTGAAATAAATTTTTTTAAATAAAAAAAAATACAAATTATAAATTACCAACAAAAATAAAAAGTCTAAAAGATATTTAAGTAGTTAAAATATAACAAGTCTAAAATTTTTAATTTTTATTGAAGGTAAAAAACAAACATGTGATGATTTTTTCTTTTGAATAAAAAATCTAAAGCACAAGCAGTAAAGTTAAAGGATGCTTATATTTTTTATACACTTGAAAGTTTTTAAATTCATTTTGTATTGTATACAAATTTATTAAATGCAAAAGCTTGTTCCCTAAAAATGCTCCAAATTGATTGATTGATTGATTGATTTATGTATGGTTTTAATTTTTTAATATAAAAATTTTTTTGATTGCTAAAAATCTAAAAGATTTTCCTGGTAAACAACATATATTCATTCAATCATTGACTAAAGAATTTCTTCACTCAACGATACGATGGTAAGAGTTCTCCTCCAGTGGCAGCAAACATTACAGAAACTGAAGAATAGTTTAGTGTTTAGTGTTTATTTCCTTATTTAAAAAAAATGTTGTTTCCCTGGGTTTCCTTTATTTTTGTAAAAATAAAAACTGAACTTCTGCTCTTGATCTTTTTATATTTTCATTCCATTGAGTTAACTCAATTTTTGCTTCGGGAAAGATTTTAGCCAGTCGTTGCCAGGAAGGTTTTCTTTAAAACAACTATTTATCACTCCTTTGTGGTTTAGATATGACTGCTCTCTTTTCTATCTTGTTTTACCAAAGATTATCTGCAGCTGTAATCATTACACTTGTTATATGCTATATGTTATATTAGTAGAGGATCCCAAGTAAGGTCGACCTTCACCCATCTGCTTACCAGATGAAAATTATATTTTATCAAATAAAATATGTTTCTGAACATAAACCAATAGGGTTGCCATAAAAAATATGATCAAGGCTAGCTATAATAAATAAAAAATTAAAAAAAAATAATTAATTTTTTAAATTTCACCGACTTGCTTGCCAAATGAACGAAATTCCAATGGAAAGCATACGACATACAGAATATGTAACAGCTAGGTTGCCTACCTTTTTCTGGTCCCTATTACCTGGTTGCTTTGTACAGGGTAATCCCCTATAATGTCGCCCCCCTTTAACTTTTTTATTTTAAGTATCCCAAAAAATTTAAAAGTTTGGTTATGTAGGTACTAAAAAATACTTTTTTTCTACGTATAAAGAAAATTGGAAAATTGATCAGTATACAGGGAAAAACAAAAAGTTTATTTTTTTTCAATGGATCACCGTATATATGAATTTATTTTTCGATTCCTTGTAAAATTCTGAGCATAATTTATATAACAAACCATATACCTAAATTCAACCGTTTCTGAAATATTCGCATTCGAAATGTCATTATTAAATGTTTTTTTAAACTGTTAGAAATCAAGAAGCCTCAGTATATCAAAATTTTTATTGAAAATAAATTACTATAGTGACATTATGTCAATAAGTGTTGTTAAATAAGTAAAAATGGCGTACTCAGACAGAGAAAGACAAACTATTTTAACTTATTATCTTAAAAATAATTTAAATATTTCAGAAACGGTTGAATTTAGGTATATGGTATGATATATGAAATATGCTTAGAATTTTACAAGGAATCGAAAAATAAATTCATATATAGGGTAATCCATTGAAAAAAATAAACTTTTTGTTTTCCCTGTATACTGATCAATTTTCCAATTTTCTTTATACGTAGAAAAAAAGTATTTTTTAGTTCCTACATAACCACACTTTTAAATTTTTTGGGACACTTAAAATAAAAAAGTTAAAGGGGGGCGACATTATAGGGGATCACCCTGTACAAAGCAACCAGGTAATAGGGACCAGAAAAAGGTAGGCAACCTAGCTGTTACATATTCTGTATGTTTTATGCTTTCCATTGGAATTTCGTTCATTTGGCAAGCAAGTCGGTGAAATTTAAAAAATAAATTATTTTTTTAATTTTTTATTTATTATAGCTAGCCATGATCATATTTTTTATGGCAACCCTATTGGTTTATGTTCAGAAACATATTTTATTTGATAAAATATAATTTTCATCTGGTAAGCAGATGGGTGAAGGTCGACCTTACTTGGGATCTTAGACTATATGCCTTCTTTGATTTCACTTCAGGCAGAAGGCCTGACAAATTAATCAGAATACTTACCTCTATATTTGCTGTATTATACAGCCTTTATAAGGTGGTTTTGGGAACATCAAAGCCGGTAGCAACCCGCCAAAACGATAAACGATTGTTTATCACCTTTGCCATGCAGGGCCAATTCAATATTTTTTGGGTCATAATTTCTTTGATACACCGTTCCAGGAACATGTTTATGCTTTCTAGGCATCGTTCCATATAACCCTAAAAATACATGCTAAAAAGCAACCTTTAAAAAATACTTCCAAGAAAAATTGAGAAAACAAATCGTTCGGGGTGATTGTTTAGGTTACAAAAAGTTATTTGCCATCTCGATCGGATAAAAAGTCAACCAAAAAATACTGGGGTTGTATTTTTGATACAATGACTTTATTGCAAAAAATTTAAAAAAATCAACATTTAAAAATTTGTCGACGGGGCTTAAAATAATTTGTTGTTTTTGTAACCAAGTAAACGATAAATTATGAGAACAGACCTGTAATATTTTACGGGCTTGCAAAAATACCTGTAAAGTTTTACAGGCTTGTAGAAAAGCAATTTATGAAATGAAATGACACATTTGTCACGTTTTGCAATTAATCTTTACTAGGATCACTGGATTATGGGATTCGCTCCTGCGTCGCACACCCCACAAACTTCTAGCTCGCCCGTAAAGATTCATTTACAAAGCTTGCCACGTAATATTTATTTACATGTCAAGCTTTGTAAATGAATCTTTACGGGCGAGCTGAAAAATTGTGGGGTGATTACCTGAAAAAATATAGTTCAGAAGTCACTGGCGCTCGTACTAAAAAATAGGGGGGTCATTGGGAGTGGACTCCCTCTAATTTTGATTATTTGGCAATTGTGTTTTGTTTTGTGTTTCTCAAAATATGTAACTATTTATGTTAAAGCAATGTTCCAAATGTAAGCTTACTATCTTATCAAACACTTGAATTATTAAATTTCAAACTTTGACGCCCTGTACCTATATCGAACATGATGGTCTAAATTGAAAATGGTAAGTAATATTATTTTTGTTCAAGAAATATATTTTTAACGGATTGACCTCCTTTTTCCGGACACCCTGTATAATATAAAATAAAACCCGAATTAGTAATAGTTTTGAATATCAGTAATTTGCTCATACTCATACGCACGTATATAATTCAATTATTTATAATAATAATCATATAATGGCCTAGACATCTGTAAAAACAAAAACCGCATCCTATAACAAAAACAATAAAATTTGTTATAAAAAATGGCAAAGATAAGAAAAGTACTGCTTTCTCATTGGTTCTTGGCCAACGCATTTCTGCATAAAAAGAAGGATTAATTCCGTAACTTCATACAGTTTACATATTGCTTAATTGTTAAAACCTAATATGTACATATATGTAATATTATATTTAAAATATAATTAACTTTTAATATTTTATAACTAATAATGGGGATAAAGGACATTCTATTACTTTTTGATAGACCCCAAGAACCGGTATTTATGGTAAAGGGTAACAAAAACTCTGTTTTTAACATACCCCATAATTATTTGGTAAGTTATTAAGTTAATAACAAGGATAAGATATAATATAATAGTTATTTAAATAACTAGTGCGAAAGTGCTACTTTTCCGCACGCCGTTAAACAAAAGACGTGTAGCGAAGTTCAGCCATTAGTCGAGTGGGGAAAAGACACTTTCCGGTTGTGTATTTTTTGTACAAGTGTGTGGAAAGTTGCTACTTTTCGTAGGCTTGTAGAAAATAGTATATTACACTGCAAAGGAGGTAGGAAGTAGGTTTAACCAGTGGAGGACGAGTTTGCTCCCACAGCTAGGTTTTATGTAATGAAAATATTTTTTTGATCAATTTATTTTGAAACTGACACTAAGTAATTTTTTGACATTAAAGGATGTCATGTTGTCTGCTATGATTTTGTCGCTATTAAGACGTTGTTTACAGATTGGAGGTAAGTAGCTCAGTTACCTCCTGTCGTCAATGGCAACCAGCCTTTAACGGTAAATTCAACTTACCTGCTATAAAACAATATAACAATAGCCTAGTTACCATAGTGGAAGCAGATAAACATAATTACGTACTTTTTAGGCTGATAAATACAGACCTATAGGTCCTGAAGTTGTAAATCGTTTCGGAGGAGATGCCGAAGAAAAAATAAGCATTAGCAAAATTGCAATTCCCAATTTGGGAAACATCCTAGATTTGCCAAGAGACCAAAACTTCTCGTTGTTTATTCCAAAACATCGGGACATTGCTGGAAAACTAATCAACATCTATTTAGGTAACTAAACGTAGATAAGAAAAATATGGTATAATAATAATAATATATTTATTAGGAATGAGGAATGTCGAAGAACTTCTATCAGTGGCGGTTTATACAAGAGATCGCGCCAATCCCTATCTGTTTAATTACGCGTTATCTGTTGCTCTCTTACACAGACCTGATACTCAAGAATTGGACATACCATCCTTTATTTTTTCATTCCCAGACAAGTATGTTGATAGCAAGGTTTTTAATCGAGCTAGGGAAGAAGCCACTGTCGTACCGGAAGGATCGAAGGTAAATAACACTTTATCTAAAGTGGTCTAAATATTTATTTACATATGAGAATACTTTTTATAAAACTACTTTTCGTTAAAATGTTTTCTCTTCAAAATTAAAAGAAACATAAGTAAGTTAAGTAAGTTATTATTTAAAAAGTAAAAAATGTTCACATAATTTGTATACTTGAATAAAAATATTATTTTTACTTTACTGATTTTACGAATTTTGACCCTAATTGAAATTTTAAAATTCGCATAGGCATAAATTAAATATGAATTTTTAGTTATAGTCTTATAAAACTGTTTAAAAAAATGAACGTATGCTGTTAGATTATTCATTCATTAAAATTTATTGAAATTAATTGTAGAAGCTATACCTACCTACAACTTTTTCTAAAGAAAAAAATTACTTTTGTGAAACAATAACACAGGTCAACAAAAATAAAATTTCTCAACAACTTTTTAAGGGTAATTTAGGTACGCTGAATCCAAAAATGAACATCATTTCGCTCAATCAGCTCTTGTTTTTGCGTTTTTTTCGATATGCGCACATTCAAATTCTTATATATATTTTTTTAAACTTCTAATTTAAGCAAGGATAGTTGGTAATGTTGCTATGCATCTTTATTAAACTAAAAAAATACCATCCATATACATTGTTAATGGTATTCTCTTTAAAAATCTTGCGAAAAAAAATTGATTTTTTAGCCAAAATTCGGATATTTTTAAAATTCAAAGTGATACAGCATGATCAATTTTTATCCCTATTTGTAGCTCTATTTATCTACTTATACTATAGTGTTAAAATTTCAATGCAATCAAAATTTTAATGAGAGTAGTGCTGCGGTGCTAAGCTAAACCCCCGTATCTGCAATATTAAATAAAAGATTAGTTCATTGTTAAAAACAATAAAAACTATCTTTTGTGCAGCAGCAGATACTCTACTCATACTCTCATACACTAAAACTAATAAAAAAAAAACAATAATATTTTTGACGTCTTCTTATTAGACATACCGCTGCAGCGCGCTGGTTTGGTGCAATACTATCCTATATATCAAAGAATTGGAGAAAAACAATATTAGACATTTCTATTTATTGTAACTAAATTGTTTTTTGCGTCATTCTTTTAAAAATTGGAAGGTTTTAAGGAATCCAAAGATTAATAAATAAATACAAATTATGCAAAAAACAATTTAGTCTTGCACCAAACCAGCGATACTTAAAATCAGGTCTTAAATCCTAGGCACAAAAATTGTCCACTTAAATAGGCTCTGTGAATATTAATAGCTATTCACGGAGTTTATTTAAGTTGTACACGTAGTACCCAATTTTGGTTGATTTTATTGCCATGTTGCCAATTTTAATTTGATTGCATTGAAATTTTATCACAATAAAGTAGATAAATAGAGCTAAAATAGGGTAAATTTTATTTAAATCAGGCAAAAATTGATCATGCTGTATCACTTTGAATTTTAAAAATTTCCGAATTTTGGCTAAAAATCGATTTTCTTTCGATGAAAGCAAGATTTTTACAGTTTAATAGAACAACATTACCAATTAGAAGTTAAAAAAAATATATTTAAGCATTTGAATGTGCGCATATAAAAAAATGCTTTTTTATCTACATCGCAAAAGCAAGAGCTGATTGAACAAAATGATGGTCAATTTGGGATTCGGCGTACTCAAATTACCCTAAAGTTGTTGTCTACCCTGCACCAAAATGGCTGTCGGCCAGTGTAATAATTATATTTTCCAATACAGAATTATAATTGTGTTGGATTTTATTAGTTTTGGGTATACCCTCTATAGAGGGTAATCAAATTATTGTTGAATGTATTGTATACATTGATACCTGCGGTAACATTTGACCTTTTAAACTACCTCCTTTATGTATTTGTTTAAAGGCTATAAATATTCCACCCATATAAATTTTAGGGGTGTTTCTTAAAATTCTTTATTTCGTAAAGAATGATTTCCTTTTTTCAGACCCCAATTGAAATACCAGTGGACTACACTGCCTCAAACTTGGAGGAAGAGCACCGTTTAGCCTATTTTAGGGAAGACATCGGCATAAACCTCCATCATTGGCACTGGCATTTGGTGTACCCTTTCGAGGCTGCCCCCGTTGTAGTGGACAAAAACCGGAGAGGAGAACTCTTCTACTACATGCACCAGCAAATCGTTGCAAGGTACAACTTTGAACGTCTCTGCAATAATTTGAAACGCGTCGAAAGATACATCGACTGGCATGCACCGATCAAAGAGGCCTATTTTCCAAAATTGGACAGTTTGGTTGCCAGCAGGGCTTATCCGGCTCGTGTGGCTGATCAAAAGATTAGCAACTTAAGAAGAAATGTAGATCAGATTACTGTTGATGTCGATGATATGATCAGATGGAGAGATAGGATTTTTGAAGCTATACATTCAGGTTTTGTTAGAACTGTAAGAATTTAATTTGAGTTTTACGTTATTTTAGCACCCTTAAAAAGGGCTTTAGGGACCCGTGAATTTGTTATTTGCTGTTTTTACAGTACAGTTTAATATTTCATTACAATTTACAAAAATCTTTATTTTTCGCGTATTTTAATCAATGTCAAACTCTAAACCACAAAAATTATCCAGACGTTCAACGCCCAGGTTAGATAAAAATAAATATCGCAGGTCTTTTTTTAGGACAAAGGCGAAACAATTCAACTAACAGAGTTTGAAGGTATCGATATTCTGGGAAATATGATTGAATCAAGTACCTTATCACCCAACAGAGGATTTTATGGGGATATTCATAATATGGGTCATGTTTTCCTATCCTTTATACATGATCCTGATGCAAGGCATCTTGTAAGTATTATTATTTTACTTCTTTGTTTTAGCATGCTGAATAAAATATATCACTATCCAAAATTATACTTCGACATTAGCTTGTTTTATTTTGCTGCGTATAAATATAAATCAATTAAAGTTGTACAATATTCATTAAGAAATTCGTACATAGTTTTTATTATAAACTTTATAATATAAAAGTACGAAATATAATATGTGGAATTTAAAATCACCCTTACGATTGCATTACAATTTTTCGAATTTCATTAGTTTCGACAAAATATATTTGTCTGATTGATTGATTGAAACTATATTAAATACTGCTTCATGCACTTTAACCTCGAGCTCCATTTCAGCATCTTCGGTATATATTTTATTAGGATGTTCCAAAAAATAAAAATTTTAAATATTTTGTCTCCACGAGCTTTTTTTAATTCATGACATTTAAATGGCAACCAAGAGACCAAAACTTCTGGTTGTTTATTCCAAAACATCGATTCATTGCTGAAAAACTTATCAACATATATTTAGTTGTAACTAAACGTAGATATAAAATATGGTCTAATAATAATAAAATTTATATTCCTTTATAGTCCAGTCAAAGTTTAGTGAAAAATGGCCTGACCTTGCTTGCCGATTTTTCATAAATCGATAGGGGCTTATTTGAAAAGCCTAAAACCAAATTTACACCAGCTGACCTTTTTTGCTTACAAAGTTATATGCAAAAATGTTTTTAGCGAATATTCACAATAAAAAGTAAGGAAGCAAAATTATTTTTTATAAAAGGCTCGTTTTTTAATTGCGGTATTTTCTCTTGGTCTAATCCACGTCAAAATATATTTATTTCTTCTGTGTTTATGATCGTTTGAATGTGATTTTTTTAGTGGAAGTGTCTGGCCCTTTTTCAGATTCGCTGTATCTTGTTCTTCATTGTTGGTCAGAAACAGGTTGTATTTTTGAATAGGACTGATTCCTCCTTCGGCAGTATTCTTAACAACTTTCAACACTTTTTATGAAACTCTTAGAAAACTGGATCACAGGGCTAATTCTGAGGTGGTACCTTCAGGAATTTTTCACTTTTGCATTTTCCCTTAATAATAAGGACATTAAAGAAAAAGCTGGTTCTTTCACTAATAATTTTTTTTATTAAGGTCATTTTCCTTAGTTTAATCAATGCAACGTAGAAAATTAAGCAATTTTGGATGCTTTAGTTTTTTCTAGTCTATTAAGTGCTTTAAAAGAAACAATTGATTACTTTTAAAAGCAGTGTTTTTACTGATCTTTTCGATGGATGGATGCCTATATAATTTTTTTTCCTTGCTGTAGTTTAAGGTCAGCACTTCTAATGTTGCTTGAAAAATCTTCTCTGCTTTCAAAGAAAACTTTGTCGTCAAAGTTCTTTATTTTAGTCAAAGAGTCTTTTGCAGCACCATCAAACAAATCTTTAAGATCACTTTTAAAGAAATTCTCACACACATTATTATTTTCGCCTTGACGAGTACGCTGCTTGTTGAGAGCTAAATATCGTTCATACAGTTTTGATAGTCTCAAATATGAATCAATTCGCTGCGTAGGTACCCTGCGTATAGTAAAAACTGCTTCACACGTCTGTTTGTAAGACACTGGCAAGTCTTCTAAATGGTGAAATTAAACCACTCGGAACAATCTAATTCACGGAGAAGCCAGTTAGTTGGGGCAGATCTCTTCGATATTCTGATACGTACCTATACACAACAACTTAATGAGTAAAGCATAAACACAAATAAACATAAACATAGACCACAGATTAAATATTTTCTTTTATGCCTATCACACGATTTAGTATTTTCCCTGATAGAATTAATTTAAATTGATTAAGTTTGGAACAAAAATTATCTTGTTGTTTATCCTAATACTTGCAGGAAAGCAAAACGAATTTATGATATTTTACATAATTTTCACAATTTTAAACTCAACTGAGGATATTATCCTAGAAAGCAAAAATTATGTAGTATAAATACTACACCAAAAAGATTTTTGGTTACCCAGTTCATATAAAATTCGAAAAAAAATCACGCAAAAACTGAAACAAGTGAGGGTTATAAAATACTTAACTTCTGGGCGACCAATAACTCCCAACAGAAGGTTCATATTTTGTACAAATATTAATACATAATTACGTATGTGGAGGCAAGACTCAAAAATGTTTTTTTTTCTCCATACAATATTTTGAATTATTAGTTATTGCTGAATAATTTTAGGAATCATTTGGAGTAATAGGAGATTCAGCCACTGCCATGCGAGATCCAATTTTTTACCGTTGGCATGCTTATATCGATGATATTTTCCAGCAATTTAAAAATACCTTGCCATCATATGAAGAAAATCAAGTAAATACACAGTCCTATCAATTATTGTGGAAATATACATTTTATGTATTTTATAGCTAAATTATCCTGGCGTGACAGTTTCCGATATAGAGCTGGAGACACCCAATTCTCCCAAGAATCAAATTAACACATTTTGGCAACAATCCGACGTTGATTTATCAAGAGGTTTGGATTTCCAACCCAGAGGTTCGGTGTTTGCCAGGTTTACACATCTTCAACATAAAAATTTCGTTTACAGAATCACTGTAAATAACTCCAGTGCTGCTGCTAAGGAAGGCACTTGCAGAATATTTATGGCTCCCAAGTACGATGAAAGGAACAATCCATGGAACTTTAGGGAGCAGAAAAATATGTTTATTGAGTTGGATAAATTTAAAGTTAATTGTAAGTTTTTTTTTTTTTTTATTTGAATAGAGTGGTGAATAATCAAATCAAATTAACCTTGCTAAAAATGGACTACAAAAACCTTAGAAAATTAATTGTAAGTTTTTTTAATTATACTTATGGTATACTATAGTATCTCCATTTGAAGAGTTTAATAAATAAATAACAGAAGCCCGTGACAGCAAATTCAGCAAATAAGTGACAATATAAATTGTTAATTTGTTGTTATTATGACAAAATACAGGTTTAAAACTATCATATTTTTGTTTTTTAAATTTCATACAAAAATATACTGTAATAATCAATTTTAAAGCCATTAACATGATCCTCTTTGGTTGCTAGAGTTTAAAAAGGAATATTGAAAAAAATCATATTGATAGCTTAAATGGATTATTTAGTTAATTTTTTATGGAAATCTTATGAACGAGCTCGTGAGGTACAAAATAAAAATAGCGTATTAAAGCATATGTAATTTTTTGAAATCTGTGCTGTAAAAAAATCTAAAAATATTTGTAAATGTGTCTGATGCGTCACAAATTCATATTTTACTTTAAAGACATTAAAGACATGAAAACTCTCCAAATATAGATACTACCTTAACTGCCATACAAGTTAAAAATACATTTGATGGTGTCCATGTTTAAATGAAGAAAATCGATTAAATCGATTTCGGTCAAAAAATCATTGACAAATTTTATTTTCTTTGACGACTATAATTTTTTTTAATTTGGTTAACGTTGATTGTATTTTTTTATGAATCAAAAATCAAGAATTTGACTTGAGTGTATATTTATGTATGCAAACTAAACTGCGCACCACTCAATGTGTTGCGACCAAAAAGTTCGTCCTTTTTCAAAACGACCTAACTTTTTTGTTTTTTGAACGATTTTATTTTGGTCTGTGATGTCTGCTAGCCCCATCCTCTGGCAATTTATGCTATAGATATGAAGCTCATGGTTCTTCAAGTAAATTTTCTACAGGGTGATATGTTAAACGGTGAAAAAGTTCAATAATTTCATCCAAGCCCCGTTTGAAAAAAGAAATATTTTTTCTCGTTTTTATTTTGAAATAATCAAGTATTATGTCTTACCTTAAAACGGTTTTCAAATTTTTTGAATTGGAATCTTAGCAACGAAAATATGATTTTTTTTCAAAAGAGTAGATTTAAGGCTTTTTGGTAGAAAATACACTCAGTCTTTTTAAGAACAAGAAGATAAGATGGTGAAAGATTGTTCCTTGAATAATTCTGAACAAGCGACAAGCAACAAATTTCCATTATTTTCAGAGGGGCCTAAGCAACGACCACTTTTTCAAAATGACATTTTGGGGAAAATTTGCGAAAACTAAACTTGAATCGATATTTACGTTCGACATGTTTTCTTCATTATTTTGACCTCCTGATTGTGATTCAGTTGTCAAATTTAAGTTTCAGATAAAACCAAAATCACCAAGAATCAAAATTCGAAATTACATAACCTAATTGTTAATAAAGTTAAATAAAAATATTTTTGTTAATTTTTTAAAATTTTATGCGAAGTTATAATTATAATCAAAACTACAATATTCAACGGAAAAATTAAACAAACAATAACAATAATAACTTTCAATCTTCTGCGAACCGTTGATTGCTGCAGCTACGGGAATTAACATCTTCAAATCAACGGTAAATTTTAAAGAAAGAATGGAAGTAACCTGGGAAAGATAGGGGTAGGTATGTAGGTAGGAAGGTATAACTTATGCAAAAAACTTCGAAATTTGAAAAAACACAAGCAAACTTAAAAAATCAAGAATATCCCTCATAATGTGTTTTGAATGTTTTTCAAGAACTAATTTTCATCATTTGATCCTCGATTTGATCATTTAACGACATGATAATAACGTACTAAAGATGCAAAACACAGTAAAAAACAGTAAAAACCAGCAATCGTATTTTATTGAGACATTTAACAGCGAAAAATTGTTTTAGAATCTTGATTCTTGGTGATTTTGGATTTATCTGAAACTTAAATTTGACAACTGAATCACAATCAGGAGGTCAAAATTATGAAGAAAACATGTCACGAACGCAGTGGCGGCTGGTGGATTTTAAGTATACCAATATCTCAGTTATTAGACATGGGACCCACACCAAATTTATAATAGTTTATATTGACATTAAATAAACAAGTTCGGCGGAACAGAATTTAAATTGAAGTTTGCGAAAAAAAGTTAGTTTTTCCTGTCGCCTACCCTGCCTCCAGGCCCCCCTATTTGAGATAATTCAAATTAAAGTGGTGCAATTTATTATCTACTATAATTTATCGATAAATTTAAAATTTTATTCAACAAATCCAAATATTACAGATTTTATTCGATTTTAAATTTTTATTATTTATTTTATTAAAATAAAAAAATATTTAAAATGGTATAAAAACTGTAATATTTGGATTTTTTAAATAAAATTTTAAATTTGTCAATAAATTATAGTAGATAATAAATTGCACCACTTTAATTTGAATTATCTCAAATAGGGGGGCCTGGAGGCAGGGTAGGCGACATGAAAAACTAACTTTTTTTCGCAAACTTCAATTTAAATTCTGTTTGCGCCGAACTTGTTTATTTAATGTCAATATAAACTATTATAAATTTGGTGTGGGTCCCATGTCTAATAACTGAGATATTGGTATACTTAAAATCCACCAGCCGCCACTGCACGAACGTAAATATCGGTTTAGGTTTAGTTTTTGCAAATTTTTACCAAAATGTTATTTTGAAAAAGTGTTCTTTGCTTAGGCCCTCTAAAAATAATGGAAGTTTGTTGCTTGTCGCTTGGTCAGAATTATTTAAGAAACAATCTTCCACCATCTCATCTTCTTATTCCTAAACAAACTGAGTGTATTGCCTTCAAAAAACCCTTAAATGTACTCTTAAAAAAAATCATATTTTCGTTGCTAAGATTCCAATTCGAAAAATTTGAAACAAGATTCAAGGTAAAACATAATAATTCATTATTTTAAAGTAAAAACGAAAAAAAAATATTTTTTACAAACGGGACTTGGATTAAGTTATTGAAATTTTTCACCGTTTAACATATCACCCTGTAGGAAATTTTCTTGAAGAACCGTATCTATAGCATGATTTGCCAGAGGATAAGGCTAGCAGACATCATAGACCAAATAAAATCGTTCAAGAAACAAAAAAGTTATGTCGTTTTGAAAAAGAACGAACTTTTTGGTCGCGACACATTGAGTGGTGCGTAGTTTATTTCGAAAAGAATCATGCGATATTTAGTGCCCAGGTTTAGATTCAAAATTTATATTTAAACTTTATTCTAGTGAGGCAAGGAACGAACACTATAATGCGAAATTCAACCGACTCTTCTGTTACGATTCCCTTCGATAGAACTTTTCGTGACCTAGATGCAAGAAGACCCCAAGGAGGAGATGCTTTAGCCCAGTTTAACTTCTGTGGTTGTGGTTGGCCCCAGCATATGCTTATCCCCAAAGGTGCTCCTGAAGGTTACCCTTGTCAATTATTTGTGATGATTTCAGACTATGCTGGAGATCGAGTAAGAACTCTGGTTTAAATTATGCAATTTAAGACAAAAAATAAACTTTTAAAATCTAAATCAGACTATAATTAATAAATTAAGTAAAAAACTGATTTGTATTTGTATTTTAGATTAATCAATCTATAGAAGGTATTTGCAACGATGCAGACAGTTACTGCGGTATAAAGGACAAACTTTATCCTGACCGTCGCTCGATGGGATATCCTTTTGACAGGTTGCCTAGACGCAGAGTGGATACGCTGCAGCAATTCCTAACAAGCAATATGCGCGTACAGGACATCAGCGTTCGATTCGAAAACCGCACTTTCAGACCAAGAGAAGTTGGCAGGAATTAGGACGCCGCCGTTGCAGGATTCGTTGAAAGGATACTGACCTGGCTCACCAAGGATTTACGATGTTTTGATGTGTTTTATTATTGTCACATTATTTTACTTAAGTACACTGCATTTGATAAAAACATAAACGTGTTTTATTAGTACCAACAAAGTATTAAAGATTGTCTAGACAGTGAAATAAAATAGGTGCATCTAGAGATTTGATAAAACTAAAATGCCCTTAAAGGTTTATTGTTTAAAATGATTCTTATAATTAACTAACATAATGTATTTTATTATCGTTTTATAAGTAATTTTGATTTAAACGAACTTAAACCTATATTAATATACTTACTAAAAAAATACATAATACAAATATCTATAGAATACAATTTTGTCTAAAATTATCAGGAAATTAGTTTCTACTAGTTATCGTAGAGAGCACGTTGCAATGTGGTCTCTTTCAACTCGTTGCATCCAAAATTATATTATACACTCACCGGCAAAAAAAAACGGGCCACCAGAAATTTGCCAAAATTTTAACGTTGATTTCCTCGCGAACCGCTAATCTTATTTTGATGATTTTTTGTAGTACTGTAGGTTGACTCTTTAGTTACAATACTATGGTTGACATTTGTGATAAATTGTAGGGTGCATAAGCAACAACATTAAATGTGAATTGGAATACTTATTACCATAGCACTATCTTTTCTAAACATTTTGTATTTTTATTCGTGCTATTATCTCCGTTATTAACGAAGATAAACTGTTTTAAACCCATCTGTGGTTGACTCTTCAGTAACGAAGCCATAATGAAAATTTTTATTCAGATTCTTATTTAAGCATACAGGGTGCAAAATGCAAGACAAAATTTGTTTCCCAAAATTTGTGTCATTAGACATTAGAAGATACATCGAATATCAATTGGAATCTTACTGTAGCACTATTTTTTCTATAGAGTTTGTTTTTTTATTCACGTTATTATCTCTGTTAACAACTTGGATATACCTACTTGTTTAAAGCAAACCGGATAAATTGTTCCTATATAAAAAAAATAGTTATCGAGTGTGACCTCCTTGCGCTAAAATCACATTATTCAGTCGACGTGGCATTGAATTAAGAAGATTAGCAACAAATTCTTAAGGAATTACATCGAAATCTTCCTGAAGTACAATTCGCAGCTCATGAAGGCTGTCGGGCAAAGCAGGTCGGCCACGAATGCATCTCTGAAGTTGGTCCCAGATATATTTAATGGGACTAAGATCACGTTGCCGTCGCGTATTGTCTTGCATTAGCAAGAAGCCGTCTCCGATCAAATGAGAATAGAGAACAACAGCATCCTGGATAATATCTTCGATATATCGATGCGCATCTAAAGCGCAGTTTTCAACAAATAATAACTCTGTGGTGGTTTTCCCAATCTTTATATTACACCCTGCATTTAACATTTAACATTTATTTAAAATCAAAACGTAATACCTAAGTATATGTACAAAAAATCCCAATTTAAAAAATATAGAGAACAGATAAAGAAAAGGTAAATATAATCAGTATATTATTTTAGTATTGTTTATTTGCATTGGGCATTACCACATCCTAAACCCAACGAACAGGAAGACGAGTGAAAAATAAGATAGCAAACAAAATGCTATTGGATTATAATTGATAAAAATTTGAATAAAAGGTAAACATTTTCATAGTAAAATTCAGTTTGGTCTTTTCCCTTTTTATGAAGTGTTGAAAACAGCCAAAAGGGTAACTAAGGTTAGTAAAGCATTTTCTATTAATATTAATTTAATTTATAGATTTTCTAAGATGGCGAGCAAAAAGAACATTTTGTTGCTCTTTGACCGCCCAAAGGAACCCGTTTTTATGGTTAAAGGTAAAGAAAATTCTGTTTTCGATGTTCCACAAGAATATTTGGTATGCTACTTTTATTTAACACAAAATTATATCTCTTAATAATAAAATTTATTCATAGGATGATAAGTATAAGCCAATTGGGGCTCAAATTGTTAACCGTTTTGGAGAGGATGCTAACGAGAAAATCCCTGTCTCTAGAATTTCACTACCACCACTTGGTGATATTTTGGAATTAAAGCGTAACGAAAATTTCTCTCTTTTCTTGCCTAAACACCGCAGGATCGCAGGCAAGCTTATCGACATTTTCCTAGGTATACAATTAATTGCATTGAATTTAATAACATGTTTACTTATTACCAAATATTTTTCTAGGAATGCGTAATGTGGACGAATTACTTTCTTGTGCTGTCTATGCCAGAGATCGTGTAAACCCCTATTTGTTTAACTACTGCCTCTCTGTTGCGTTGTTGCACAGACCTGATACCCAGGACATCGATTTGCCCTCTTTTATTAGTTCTTTTCCCGATAAATACCTAGACAGTCAAGTTATCGGTGAGGTAAGGGAACAAGCCACCATTGTTCCTGATGGATCAAGGACACCCATCGAAATTCCTAAAGATTACACTGCATCTGATTTGGAAGAAGAACATCGTCTTGCCTACTTCAGAGAAGATTTGGGGATTAATCTTCACCACTGGCATTGGCATTTGGTTTATCCATTTGAAGCTGCTCGCGCTGTTGTTGATAAAAATAGAAGAGGAGAGTTGTTCTATTACATGCATCAGCAAATTATTGCTAGATACAATTTTGAACGTCTCTGCAATGATCTTAAGAGAGTAGACCGTTTGGTTGAACTAAAGGAACCAATTAAAGAGGCGTATTTCCCGAAATTAGACAGCTTGGTTTCAAGCAGAGCGTGGCCTTCCAGAGTAACCAATCAGACTTTATCAAACATAAGAAGAGAAACTGATCAAATCACACAGGATGTCGATGATGTTATAAGGTGGAGGGATAGAATATTGGAAGCAATTCACATGGGATCTGTTCGAAATGTAAGACAATTTATTATTACCCTTGTTTAAAACTAATAAATGCGTTTTAGGAACAAGGCCAAACTATTCCTTTAACAGAAAATGAAGGTATTGACATTTTGGGAAATATGATAGAATCTAGCATTCTGTCACCAAACAGGGCCCTGTATGGTGATATGCATAATATGGGACACGTGTTAATTTCGTACATTCACGATCCAGACCATCGTCATTTGGAAACATTTGGAGTTATGGGTGACTCAGCCACTGCCATGAGAGATCCAATTTTCTACCGTTGGCATGCATTTATTGATTATATTTTCCAACAATTTAAAAATACTTTACCTACGTACACCCCTCAACAGGTAAACAAATACAAAATCTAAATGATTGCATTTTACAAAATAATTTATAGTTGGACTTCTCTGGAGTCACCGTACAAGATGTTGAAATCCAAACCCAAAATGGTAAACCCAATCAAATCAACACCTTCTGGCAACAATCAGATGTCGATCTGTCCAGAGGCATGGACTTCCAACCCAGAGGTTCAGTATTTGTTAGGTTTACCCATCTTCAACACAGGAATTTTACTTACAAAATCAATGTAAATAACAACGGCAGTGGCAACAAGCAGGGAACATGCAGAATTTTTATTGCTCCCAAACTTGATGAAAGGGGCAACCCATGGACCTACCGCGACCAAAAGAACATGTTTGTTGAACTTGATAAGTTTGCAGTTAACTGTAAGTAAAAAAAACAATTGTATTTAGTTATTGTTAATTTTACTTTATTTTTGCAGTAAAACAGGGTAAAAACACGATTACCAGATCTTCAACTGAATCCTCGGTGACAATTCCTTTCGAACGTACTTTCCGTAACTTGGACAACCAAAGGCCAACTGGTGGAGACAATTTGGCACAATTCAACTTCTGTGGGTGTGGATGGCCACAGCATATGTTAATACCAAAGGGCAAAGCCGATGGATTCCCATGTCAACTTTTTGTAATGATTTCCGATTATGAAGGCGACAAGGTAAAATATGTTAAAATGTTTAAGTTTAGTTTTATTTTAAAATTTTGTTTATAACAACAGATTAACCAAACCACTGAAGGTGTTTGTAATGATGCTGGAAGTTACTGTGGTATTAAGGACAAGTTGTATCCAGACCGTCGTTCCATGGGATATCCATTCGACAGACTTCCAAGGCAAGGAGTTAATACTATTCAACAATTCTTAACTGGCAACATGAGAGTTCGTGATGTCAGTATCCAATTTGAAAATCGTACTTTTAGACCTAGAGAAGTTGGAATGAATTAAACTAGAAAATATGTAATGACCGGCAGATGTTTTTAAATCAAATTATATTTCTGTATCTTTATTTAACTTAAAAAATATAGGCAAATAGAAATTATTTATGGCTTTTATTATTACAATAATAATTTTTATAAAATTATAAAAACTACACTACTTAAATCCCTAATGGGTAACATATTTAAATAATGACAATTTTTTATGTATTTATTATTTATAATATTCTAAATAATATTTATTCTAAAATAATTGAGGGAGTTGATGTAACCTAATATAATTTTTTTCAAATTTAGTATTACTTTATTTTAACGATTGTATGACATTTGACAATGTTCAATTGTTTGGCACATTTGGCACACCATTTATAAATTAAAACTTCTTTTAGACATTTTTTTAAAATATAAGTTTAATTAGCCTTAATTTGAACGTTAAGATTATTTAAAGTTTGGGTGTTTCGACACAACACTGTCAGAAAACACATGGAACCTCAGATAGATGCACCCCCTTATTTATTTATTTTCTATAACACACAGCAATGCTGATTTTTTAAACTTAAATGCTTGTTGAAAAAAAAAATGTAATTTTTCTGTGTTTTATCGTCAGTACGTCAGTTTTGTGACAGGACATTAAATAGAATAGCATAGCATGCTAATACTAAAGTTATTCACCAATTTTCGTATATTCCTTACATTAAATTAATAGAAAATTAACAGAAAGTGTTGTTCACACATTTTTGTATATAAATATAGAAAAAATTATAGGTACTAGTAGATTTTAAAAAGAAAAACTCATATTAATAAAGTTTTAAACCGATTCTTTTTCGGGATATTCTTAACATAGTCCTAAAACGATTCCTTTTCGGGATAACCTTAAATATATACTGGAAGTTTATTGCATGTATGCATACGACTGGGGGGTTTTTCTTTAAAACAATATAAAAAATAGTTATTAAACGGTTTGTTTTTAATTTTTATAATGCATGTATTCTAAAATAAAGTTAATACATTTCTCATACAACATAAAAAACTTTAGAATAATTGAGGTGGTTGATGGATAAAGGTGTTAACTAACATATTCGTGTTATGCAAAAATGTAGTAATTAGATAACTTACTAACAACTCTCTTAAAATGAATTAGTCAAAAATAAATAATTATAAGTCATATTTGACTAATTGTCATAGCCAAAAAGCAGATACTAATAATTAGTCAAATTCTACTGAATGAAATAGTCAAATTAGTAGATTTAAATTAAAAAAAGTTTTGACCCAGTCGGGGATTGAACTCCGGTCTGTCACTTGTCAAGCTGTTGTCATAACCCATTCGGCCATCAGCCGCTCTTATAAAAATCAATTTTATTTGTCAATAAATATTGTTCATAATATTTTAAAGTTGAATATATTATTTGTGTTGCTATTTTGAGCTAAACTTTTGCATCTTTATTTGTTTTTATGAGTCATTTAACCATTGAGCCTAGGTAAATGCATTTAATTCAAATAATACTTTGTTGTTGGCCGCAAACGATTAAAGAAATTAGTTACTTTTAACTCTCAGAAATAGTCAAAGATGGTGACGATGCCTAACATCGTGATGGTGACGATGCCTAACATCGTGAATTTTGAGTTTATTATTCACGTTTGTTAGGCAGGGAATTTATAATGTTTATCAATTTTCAGGGAAAACCCAAAATTATGCAATAGGAGTAGATTCAGAGTATTAATAATAAATAAATAAAAAAATCGTCATTATTTAAATATGATACCCATTAGGGAGTTTAGTGGCGTATTTTGTATAATTTTATATAAATTATTGTTATAAATAAAAACCAAAAATAATTTCTATTTGCCTATATTTTTCAAGTTTAATAAAATTTATTAATATATATTATATTTAATATACATAAATATAATTTAAAAACATCAGCCGGTCATCACATATTTTTTAGTTTAGTTCCTTCCAACTTCTCTGGGTCTAAAAGTACGATTTTCAAATTGAATACTGACATCACGAACTCTCATGTTGCCAGTCAAGAATTGCTGAATAGTATCAACTCCTTGCCTTGGAAGTCTGTCGAATGGATATCCCATGGAACGACGGTCTGGATACAACTTGTCCTTGATACCACAGTAACTTCCAGCATCATTACAAGCACCTTCAGTGGTTTGATTAATCTGTTTATATAAACAAAATTTTAAAATAAAACTAAACTTAAACATTTTAACATATTACTACCTTGTCGCCTTCATAATCGGAAATCATTACAAAAAGTTGACATGGGAATCCATCGGCTTTGCCCTTTGGTATTAACATATGCTGTGGCCATCCACACCCACAGAAGTTGAATTGTGCCAAATTGTCCCCACCAGTTGGCCTTTGGTTGTCCAAGTTACGGAAAGTACGTTCGAAAGGAATTGTCACCGAGGATTCAGTTGAAGATCTGGTAATGGTGTTTTTACCCTGTTTTACTGCAAAAATAAAGAAAAATTAAGAATAACTAAATACAATGGTTTGTTACCTTACAGTTAACTGCAAACTTATCAAGTTCAACAAACATGTTCTTGTGGTCGCGGTAAGTCCATGGGTTGCCCCTTTCATCAAATTTGGGAGCAATAAAAATTCTGCATGTTCCCTGCTTGTTGCCATTGCCATTGTTATTTACATTGATTTTGTAAGTAAAATTCCTGTGTTGAAGATGGGTAAACCTAACAAATACTGAACCTCTAGGTTGGAAGTCCATGCCTCTGGAAAGATCGACATCGGATTGTTGCCAGAAGGTGTTTATTTGGTTTGGTTTGCCATTTTGGGTTTGAATTTCAACATCTTGTACGGTGACTCCAGAAAAGTCCAACTATAAATTATTCTTTAAAATGCAATCATTTAGATTTTGTATTTTTTTACCTCTTGAGGGGTGTACGTAGGTAAAGTATTTTTGAATTGTTGAAAAATATAATCAATAAATGCATGCCAACGGTAGAAAATTGGATCTCTCATGGCAGTGGCTGAGTCACCCATAACTCCAAATGTTTCCAAATGACGATGGTCTGGATCGTGAATGTATGAAATTAACACGTGTCCCATATTATGCATATCACCATACAGGGCCCTGTTTGGTGACAAAATGCTGGATTCTATCATATTTCCCAAAATGTCAATGCCTTCATTTTCTGTTAAAGGAATAGTTTGGCCTTGTTCCTTAAATGCATTTATTAGTTTTAAATAAAGGTAATAATAAATTTTCTTACATTTCGAACGGATCCCGTGTGAATTGCTTCCAAAATTCTATCCCTCCACCTTATAACATCATCGACATCCTGTGTGATTTGATCAGTTTCTCTTCTTATGTTTGATAAAGTCTGATTGGTTACTCTGGAAGGCCAAGCTCTGCTTGAAACTAAGCTGTCTAATTTCGGGAAATAGGCCTCTTTAATTGGTTCCTTTAGTTCCACCAAACGGTCTACTCTCTTAAGATCATTGCAGAGACGTTCAAAATTGTATCTAGCAATAATTTGCTGATGCATGTAATAGAACAACTCTCCTCTTCTATTTTTATCAACAACAGCGCGAGCAGCTTCAAACGGATAAACCAAATGCCAATGCCAGTGGTGAAGATTAATCCCCAAATCTTCTCTGAAGTAGGCAAGACGATGTTCTTCTTCCAAATCAGATGCAGTGTAATCTTTAGGAATTTCGATGGGTGTCCTTGATCCATCAGGAACAATGGTGGCTTGTTCCCTTACCTCACCGATAACTTGACTGTCTAGGTATTTATCAGGGAAAGAACTAATAAAAGAGGGCAAATCGATGTCCTGGGTATCAGGTCTGTGCAACAAGGCAACAGAGAGGCAGTAGTTAAACAAATAGGGGTTTACGCGATCTCTCGCATAGACAGCACAAGAAAGTAATTCGTCCACATTACGCATTCCTATAAAGATATTTGGTATTAAGTAAACATTTTATAAAATTGAATGCAATTAATTGTGTACCTAGGAAAATGTCGATAAGCTTGCCGGCGATCCTGCGGTGTTTAGGCAAGAAAAGAGAGAAATTTTCGTTACGCTTTAATTCCAAAATATCACCAAGTGGTGGTAGTGAAATTCTAGAGACAGGGATTTTCTCGTTAGCATCCTCTCCAAAACGGTTAACAATTTGAGCCCCAATTGGCTTATACTTATCATCCTAAGAATAAATTTTATTAAGAGATATATTTTTGTGGTAAATAAATGTAATATACCAAATATTCTTGTGGAACATCGAAAACAGAATTTTCTTTTCCTTTAACCATAAAAACGGGTTCCTTTGGTCGGTCAAAGAGCAACAAAATGTTCTTTTTGCTTGCCATCTTAGAAAATCTATAAATTAAATTATTATATATAGAAAATACCTTTTTGGATGTTCTCAACACTTCAACAAAAAGTGAAAAGACCAAACTGAATTCTACTATGAAATTGTTCACCTTTTATTTAAATTTTTATCAATAACAATCCAATAGAATTACATTGTTTGCTATCTTATTTTTTCGTTGGGTTTAGGATGTGGTTATTACCCAATGCAAAGAAACAATACTAAAATAATACACTTATATATTTTTTATCTGTTCACCATATATTTTGAATTTGAATTTTTTGTAGATATACTACGTTTTTATTTTTAAATAAATGTTAATAAATTCACCCTGTAAAAAATATTGTTTTTTCTTATAAAGGTGTGCTTCACGGGTTTTTTTTTTCATGAAATTAAAAATATACAAACAACTTAGTTTTTGTTCGGAAAGTTTCAAATACTAAAAGAAATTTTTGCAATTGTTTTATTTGGTAATGCTCAGTGGAAGTAAAAAAATTGATTTTTGTTACTCAGTGAGGTTTTATAATGAAAAATATGGTGCACCACTTTAAAATATTATTTTTGTTTATTTTTTAAAATAGTTTTTAGATTTCCCTTTTGTAAATTTCAGAATTTAGATTTCCCTTTTGTAAATATTAGTTCTGCCACAACGCGTTGCAACTTTTTGTTACAGCGTTTTCTAGCAGTGACTTAAGATTGTTGCTTTGCTTGCTAAATTATTGTTATTTATTTAGGGTTGCTAAATGACACACTTTTTCTTAATAGTGGTAGTGTCTAAAAAAAATAAAACATTTTTAACAGCGCTTAAAAGTGTCACTTTTGCGCACTATTGCGAAATTGTGTGTCAATAATAATAATAATAATAATAATAATAATAATAATAATAATAATAATAATAATAATAATAATAATAATAAGTTTATTAAACCTTCAAATGTTTGTTTACAAGGCGTGTCTACAATGATAATATAAAAAGCAGTAAATATAAAATATACACATAAATAAATAAAAATACAAGTAACATCACATATTATAATAAATGTATATCAGTCAAGTAAAAATTATATGATTAATATTAAAAGTTTAAAAATTCTTCAATTGAGTAAAAAACATTCTGGATTCAAAAACTTTTGATAGTCTTTTTAAAGAGTTTAGTGTCCATCTTCCGTACATGTGATCTGTTCATTTTTTTAATAGTTGTATTCCCGTATTCCCCAGTACTCACAATTTTTCTGAGTCTTTTGAAAAATATGTTTATGAATTACCATCAAATAGCACTGTTATAAAAGTCCGTTACACAAAGTTATTTAAAAAAAATTTTTTAAGCTATACCTCCGATATTAAGTAATAAAGGACAAAAATCATTTTTTTATTGTTATAAACAAAAAACATTGAATTTTGTCCTTTATTACAATTACGCACCACTAAAAATTTGCCACAATTTTAAATTTGATTTTCTCGCGATTTTTGATCCAGTGCTGCAGGATAAACTCAATTCGCTTGGCACTTTTTAAGAAAAATCAATTTTTATAAAAACATTAATTTTTAATCAATTTTTAATTTTTAATCAATTTTTTGAGATTTTTAATAAGTGAACTCCAAATAATGACTAACAGCTTTTAATGTATTTGTTACATAAAATGTGCAATTCATTAGACTAGTGAACTATTGACATGTCACTTGTCACATGTCACATGTCGAAATCGTGATTGAAAATACCGTTGAGTTATTTTACCGTTTTTTTCAATTTGTCGCAGATTTATTTATAAATTAGATATAAATAATTATATTTGCATTGATTATAGTATATAGTGCAATGAAGCTAATAAAAAACCATGCATGTACTCACTCGGATAATCGCGAGAGAATTTGTTTGTTTTGTCTTAAAAAAAAGAAAAAATGTTTAAAATATGTAGAAAGATTCTGGAAAAAGTTCAAAGCATAGTAGTATATGATGTAGAAGATGAACGATTACCAAAAGTTGTATGCAAGGGTTGTGAAATTTTATTATATAAAGCTGCTAAACAAGAAATTTATAGAAACACGTTAAATTTTTTTTAATTGGAAATAATTGGGTATAATCTTATAAAAAGTGCTAAAAATAAACCCATTAAAAAAGAAAAAAAGCGTGTGGTGAGAAAATGTTTCAAATATTTGTCAAGTATTGTTGGTGGCCGCGGTAAAAACATAAATATAAATCTGGAGTAAAAGTAGAAAAAATTGAAAACGATATTAGTGAAACCTTAAGTCCGAAACATCAGCAGCAGTTACTATCGCTCTTTCTTTTTTCTTTTTTTAAAAGAGCGATAGTAACTGCTGCTGATGTTTCGGACTTAAAGCTATGCTTTGAACTTTTTCCAGAACCTTTCCACATATTTTAGACATTTTTTCTGTTTTTTTAAGACAAAACAAACAAATTCTCTCGCGATTATCCGAGTCATTGCACTATATACTATAATCAATGCAAACATAATTATTTATATCTAATTTATAAATAAATCTGCGACAAAATGAAAAAAAAAACGGTAAAATAACGCAAAGGTATATTCAATCACGATTTCGACATGACAAGTGACATATGTCAATAGTTCACTAGTCTAATGAATTGCACATTTTATGTAACAAATACATTAAAAGCTGTTAGTCATTATTTGGAGTTCACTAATTAAAATTCTCAAAAAATTGATTAAAAATCATTAATGTTTTTATAAAAATTGATTTTTCTAAAAAAAGTGCCAAGCGAATTGAGTTTATCCTGAAAAAAATTGTCTTGTAAGTGATTTTTTATCATAATATAAAAAAATTGGATCCGTCTGAACCTTTCAATTAAAAGTTATTCAGGTACACCCGAAAAATTAAGGTAATACGATCGTATAACGGTGTACTACACCGTTATAGGATCGTATTACCTTAATTTTTCCAGGGGCGAGCAAATAAAGGAATTTCATGAAAATTAAGCAAGAAAGAAATGCAGGAAAATACGTTTTATTTTTGATTAAGTAATCCAAAAATAATATTAAACTTATAAAAAAGCAGTAGCGTTCCCAAGCCCTTTATTTATTAATTACTAAAAAACCTGAAACGTTTTATTAAATTCGGCAAAAAAGTTTTTGAAAAAATAAATATTGTTTAAATAACTTTACCACCCTGTATTTCGAAAACGAAGCTTTAAAACTTTAAATAAATTTGTCTTCTAAAATAGATCTATTGACCTAAATTTTTTCGATAAATCTGAGACACTCTGTTTATTATAAAGACTATAACGTCTTTAATTTATGATTGTAAAATTAACTATATTATCTTAAAGTAAGGGCTAATGATATATAGCACATTTTTAATTGTGATTTCATTAAAAAAATTATAATGTGCACCCTTTTCCATAAATAAATACTTATTAAATTAAAATTATAAAAAAATATTTATTTTCGATGATGTCCATGAAATTCGTAAATTTTAACCAAATATTTGTGATTGACCACATCCTTTGTCAAAAAGCAGGAAATTAGAAATAAATAAGATAATACCTTCAGTTAAATTTGATTGGTCTATGACTGATATGAAATTTAAATATAAGGTAGAAATTTTAATACCAAAATTCAGTTTTCTGTTTGCATTGTTCTAAGAAACTTATTGGTAAGTCAATATTATACTTTATTATTACACAATATTGAAACTTTCAATTTAGCAACCTTTTTATAAAACTTATAACTGATTATTATTATTTTAAGAAAACTATATACCCAAAATGGAAAGCAAAAATCATCTTCTGTTGTTGTTCGACCGCCCCCAAGAGCCATGTTTTATGGCGAAGGGAAAAAATAACTCTGTTTTTAATGTCCCGCAAAATTATTTGGTAAGGTTTTAAATTGATGATATTTTTAATTAAATCATATGTACATTTATTTTTATTAATATTTAACAAAAAATATTTTTATCTATGATAGGTAGATAAATACAAGCCAGCTGCTACTCAAATTGTAAACCGTTTTGGAGAAGATGCCGGAGAAAAAATTAACGTTTCCAGAATCTCCTTGCCACCACTTGGTGAAATTTTGGATCTTAAACGTAACGAGAACTTTTCCCTTTTCTTGCCAAAACACCGAAGGATTGCTGGAAGGCTTATTGACATTTTTCTAGGTTTGTATTAACTTATTACCATTAAAAATATAAGTTCCTTATTACTTTTTATTATAGGAATGCGTAACGTGGAAGAATTACTATCTTGTGCTGTTTACGCCAGGGATCGCGTGAACCCATACATGTTTAACTACTGTCTCTCTGTTGCCTTGTTGCACAGACCTGATACTCAAGACATCGATTTGCCCTCGTTTATTAGTTCTTTCCCTGATAAATACCTGGATAGTCAAGTCCTTGGAGAAGTAAGGGAACAAGCTACCATTGTTCCTGATGGATCCAGGACTCCTATCGAAATTCCTAAGGACTACACTGCATCTGATTTGGAAGAAGAACATCGTCTTGCCTACTTCAGAGAAGATTTGGGGATTAATCTTCACCACTGGCATTGGCATTTGGTTTATCCATTTGAAGCTGCTCGCGCTGTAGTGGACAAAAATAGAAGAGGGGAGTTATTCTACTACATGCATCAGCAAATTATTGCTAGATACAACTTTGAACGTCTCTCTAATGATCTCAAGAGGGTGGACCGATTAGTTGAATTAAAAAATCCGATCAAAGAAGCGTATTTCCCTAAACTGGATAGCTTAGTTTCCAGTAGAGCTTGGCCTGCTAGAGTAGCAAATCAAACTCTTTCCAATATAAGGAGAGAAACTGATCAAATTACTCAGGATATTGATGACCTAATCAGATGGAGAGATAGAATTTTGGAGGCTATTCATATGGGAGTTATTCGAAATGTAAAAAAAAATTTTTAATTAGCTTCGGTTTAACTTAAGTAAAATTTTAGGAACAAGGGCAAGAAATTCCTTTGACTGAAAATGAAGGCATCGACATTTTGGGAAATATTATGGAATCTAGTATCCTTTCACCAAATAGGGCTTACTATGGTGATATGCATAATATGGGACACGTGTTAATTTCGTACATTCACGATCCAGACCATCGTCATTTGGAAACCTTTGGAGTTATGGGTGACTCGGCTACTGCCATGAGAGATCCAATTTTCTACCGTTGGCATGCATTTGTCGATTATATTTTCCAACAATTTAAAAATACTTTACCTACATATACTCCACAACAGGTATTATTTGCAAAATAATGACAATTTATTATTACAATTGTTTAATTTTTATAGTTGAGCTTTTCTGGGGTAACTGTCCAAAACATTGAAATCGAAACACCTAAAGGACGTCCCAATCAAATTAACACCTTCTGGCAACAATCAGATGTTGATCTCTCGAGAGGAATGGACTTCCAACCCAGAGGTTCGGTATTAGTAAGATTCACCCATCTTCAACATAGGAACTTTAACTATAAAATCACTGTAAACAATACCGGTGGAAACAAGCAGGGAACTTGCAGGATATTTATTGCGCCCAAATTCGATGAAAGGGGCAATCCATGGACATTCCGTGATCAAAAGAACATGTTTGTTGAACTGGATAAGTTTACTGTAAACTGTAAGAATATATAATATTATTATAGTTTTTTATATTGTATTAATATTATTTATTGCGTATTATAGTGAAAAAGGGTGCAAATGCTATTAATCGTTCATCGACTGATTCCTCTGTGACTATTCCATTCGAACGTACTTTCCGCAACTTGGATAACCAAAGACCTACTGGTGGAGATGATTTGGCTCAATTTAACTTCTGCGGTTGTGGATGGCCACAACATATGCTAATACCAAAAGGCAAGGCTGAAGGATATGCCTGCCAACTGTTTGTAATGATATCCGATTATGAAGGCGACAAGGTAAGAACATGTTCAAATATTTAAATTTTCTTATTTTAAAATTCATTGTTTTTTAATAGATTAATCAAACCACTGAGGGCACCTGTAATGATGCTGGAAGTTACTGTGGTATCAAGGACAAGTTGTATCCAGATCGTCGTTCTATGGGATATCCATTTGACAGGCTTCCAAGGCAAGGTGTTAGCACTCTTCAGGAGTTCCTTACTAGCAACATGAGAATTCGCGATGTCAATATTCAATTTGAAAATCGCACCTTTAAACCAAGACAAATAAACTAAAACATTACCACACTATAACGGCTCCCATATTAACAAAACAAATGAACTTGTGTTTGTGTTTGTGTTTTTATTATATAAGTAAAAAATAAAGTGTTTGCAAGCAAAAACTTTTTTGTATTTAATTGGTTTTATATCCCCCTTTTAAAGTCAGGGTTTTAACCTAAAACCTAATATATATACCCACAGCTAACTAATATATATATATTTATTATATATATATATATATATATATATATATATATATACTAATATATTAGTATACTATACTGCTACAGCATTAACATAAATATGCAAAAAAAAAAGGTTTTTCCAAATGAAGCTTTTACAGAACAGATATGGATATAAGCACAATCCACAATGTGGATCAAATAGGGCTAGACAAGGTACAAAAACTCTTACTAATGTAAAATTGTTAAAAAAAGACGGAGGAAAAAGGCATTTTCCTCCCTCGCTCGGGGGTGGAAAATTAAGTTTTCCAGTAAGGTAGTAGAAAAAATCCATTTCGTTATCCTTAAAATTATAAAACTTAGAGAGGGCATAGATTATCCAGACCGGATTTTGGACATGCGTAGTTGTGCGCTGGATAATCTACAAATTATACGTCATTTCCCAAAACTTTTGGAATAATGTCGAACACGTGACAGCAAAGTAAGACAACCCGCTGTGCACACATACTTATCTTTTTTGATTGGCCGAACGCAAAAAACGGAACGGAAAAGTTAAACAACTCTTCCGTTCCCTTTCCGTTAAGTCTGCGTTTACGTTAATTTATTAATAAGAGTACATAAATTCTAAATTTGATCTTTTTGGAGTGCGTCTATGTTACGTCTACGTCCAACTATAAATCCAGCTTTATGATGACTAACGATGTCATTTTCTCTTGGACCTTTTAAATTCGCCGGCAGTAAACTAGATTTAACTGATTTCGTATGGATATTCCACCGTGGGGTGCCTATAAAACATTATGTTTACTTTCGATTTCGATATACCTACACGTAAAAATTTTTTTGTTTTATTGTTTATTGTTTTATACAAATCTTTAATTTTAATCATATTAAAGTTAAATAAAGTGTTTGGATATATTAAACTTTGTTTTTGAATATTAAATTTTATCTAAAATGCCCTGAAGAAAGTCTTTAATAAGCGACCACAACGTATTCTCACCTGTTATTATTACAAAGTGGTGAATAAGTAATAATATAGGATGAGGATATCGTTAACCATAGCCCACTGGGCTGCTGGTCGCTATCGGCCGACTAGATCTTTTTCACCTGCTTCGTGCTGTGGCATCCACTTTTATTACGATCTTTAGATTACGCATTCATTCATTAAAAAACCAGTCGGGATTTTTATCTTCTTTGTTTTAATTCAAGTAGGTATCCGGTGCCCTTAGGCTAAAATAATCTTCATAGCATAGGTGCATTAACGTACGCTGTAAGTTAGATATGATTTTGTTTGACTTTTGGTACTTAATTCATTTGGCTTATTGCAATTAACTTAGTGAAATCACTTTCACAAACAATATCTAACTTAATAATAGCACTCGATAGTATTAGTCTGAGTTGTTACAATGTTCTAGACATGGTTTAATTAAAACAATTAATTTCACCTTCACGGGAAATACGGAAACTCTAAATCATTACAAGAGGCCGGATTTTATGCAAATACCAATTATAACTTTGGGCTTATAAAGGCTTGCATAAATTGAATTTGAAAAAATGGTGCCATTTGTAATTGTTTTATAAAGATTGCAAATCTGGTAGTCACAATTTTTGTTTTAAGACAATAAACCAAGATTAAATCAAAACAATTTAAAATGTTCTTTTTAAGGTGTTCTGTATAGAAATAGTAAATCTGGTATTTGTAGTTTTAAGATAAGACAATTTTTTATAATATATGTTAAACTTCCGGAACACATTGTAAATATTGGTTTAAAATACGACCAAATTTTGATATAAAAAATATCGTCAATTTTTGCCGATTGCACAGATACATGGTATGGGTGATTCTACAAAAGTTGGACAACTTGATGTCATCAGTCAATATAGTAGGTATTTTAATATTTTTTGTAAATATTTTAGTATATTACAAAAGATCCAGGTTTTTTTAACTTGTCCACCCAATTTTAATTTATTTTTTCAAAATCACGTTTGTAGAAAAACATAATAAATATTCAAAACATCAGTACCTTGGCGTGCCACAACACCTGAATCAAATATTTGAGTGGTTTTATTTTAAAATATATTCAATTTATCTTAAATTTTTCAATTTCCCTACAAACTATAAAACATTAAATAATGTATTTTTCATATTTTATCATAGATTAGAATAATAGCAATTTAGATTCAGCGCGTGAAGTTTATATTTATTTATTTCAAACTAATGTTATCAGTAAATATGTTTTCGTAATTTTCCTAAGAAGTGCCCATCTAATAAATAATGTAAGTGTATTTTTTGTGCGTAGAAGTCCTGTCCTTAATCATAACGTTTTGATAATTCCAACTGCTTTAAAGTAATTTACATTGGCAGTGTGCAAAACTAATGGCATTATTTTTTAATAGAGTTAAAGCTAGTTTGCCTATGCAAAAAGCTTTTATAGGGTAATAAACAATCTAAAAAATTGTACAGCCAACCACCTAATAAAAATCCCAAAGGTTCAATGCATCAACATTACCCATTTAATGTCTTCGAACTGCTTTCCCGTCAGCAAACAAACAGAGAGGTGTCAACAGCGCCCTTAATGCACTGTAACCCTAAACGATCGTGTGCACAGGATAAAAATAAATAAACAAAAACGCCTAATACAATTTTGACATTTAATAAAGGTGAAGTAAGTCGAATAAAAAAAAACGGGAAATTCTGGTTCCAAGAATGACAACGCGCGACGATCCTTTCAAGAATGATAATTTCAGAGGGCTTTCTTAATGGATTATAGTATGAAGACTGTTGAAATTTGTTTTAGTTAAATTTCTCTTTGGGGAGGAATAAAAGTTGTTATGTCTTTAGTAATGTACTGTGTTGATTGTTTGTTTGGGGGCGAAAATATTAATACAAGTTGATTATAAGCGAGGGATTTATTTTTAAAAAAATGTGATTATTTTTGAAGTACACGTAGTAAAACTTTTTACATAAGCCCAAAGTAGCTAAAAAGTAGTATTATTATTAATAAATATTATCTATTTATTATATTAAAGGATATTTAAGTATCTTATTTATCCCATTAATTTATATAAAGAAAATATTTTATATTATAAATATCATTATTTTGCAATATCGATACCAGTAAGAAAAATGTACATTTTATGCTTGGCCAAACTTTACTAACACGATAATAGAAATGGATGGAAGAAAACTGCAAACTGCAATGCTTAGATTTTCATCCGTATCCTTATGCATGCTCTTTTAAAATGAATTAGTCAAAAATGACTAATTGTCATAGCGAAAAAGCAGCCACTAATAACTGTAGTCCAATCCCGGACATTTAACAGTCAATTCCTATGTTAAATTTTTCGCTAAATCCGAAAATACTATCAAAAAGCAGCCACTAATAACTGCAGTCCAATCCCGGACATTTAACAGTCAATTCCTATGTTAAATTTTTCGCTAAATCCGAAAATACTATCAAAAGTTATGAAAGTAGAGCAGTTTTTGAAATATAGTCAATTCCATCAATTAGAAAATTTAGTCATTTTTGACTAATTCATTCTAAGAAAGTGTTCCTTCATGCATGGTTCGGTTGTCTTCTATTACATTTTTTAATTAATAAGCGTTTTACATGTACATCAATGTTACATAATTTAAGAAGAAAGTTAAATGGTTGTTATATTTTGGTCAAATTGTAAAAATCTATCAAATCGTAAAAACGTTGCAAATTGCAATCTGGTTTGAATTCCTTAACAACGGGACATATTGGTAATTTTCAATACAAAGGGGAAAAAGAAAAATGATCAAATTTACCCAAAACAGGATTTTTAAAAATCTAGTCTAAATTACAAAATCATAAATAAATTTTTTGGGTTCTTAATTAGAACTGCAAGTATTATGTGAGGAAATAATTTATCAATAAAAAATTGTTTGATTTCCACCGAAACGCTACCAAAACAGCAAACGTCAATACACATCGCCAATCAGCGCCGCTGGTGGTGAAGGACTTAATTTGTGCGATTTAGAAAGCAGGTTTTGTCAATTTTCCATATTAAGTTCGTTCCTTGTGTAGGCTCCATGATCTGAGTAATCTGAATAGCACACAGAAAAAACGCTAGCATTGCATGAATGGGTGAGCCATTAAACCAATGGGATCTTGTAATCCTTATTCCTGAATAACAGTTCCTATAATACCAAGTAGTTAGAACTGTGTCCAAAGTAGACATTTCTTTGAATTACAGAATCGATAAAAAAAATTGGATTCTGTGGTTGATATCGTGAAAGTTTAATGGCATTAAATAAATGTTTTGTTTCATATAGGCATGATGGTTTGGTTTTATTTTAAACCAAATTGGAGCATAAACCTTTATGACAAACTTTGCTGGACTTTCAAGATTACACAAAGTGTTTTCGGTTTATACATAAGGCTCTAAGATTCAATTGGCTAGATCTTAAGATCTGGTTAATATTTGATTAAAATTAACATGATGATAACACGTGATGGTGGCAATTTTTTTACCATACCAAAAATACTTAAAGCGTATAAAACGCTTGATTGATTCCTCTGAACTTTTTCGAAAAAAAATAGCTCTTCCTGGCCAGGCCTGTAATCTTTTGTAATTTTATGATATTTTTGTGGCTTAGTTTAAATTAAACTGTATGATAAAATAGAAGTAATGATAATACTCAAATCCTGAAATGTTTAAAAATAATGTAAATATTTTAATATACTGGTACTGTCAATAACCTATAATATAAGTATTATAGGTATGCATTTTTCCTTCATATAATATTACCTACGTACATACTAAACTGGTATTGTAATAAACCCCAACTACCGCATACACCAATACGCGCGACATCTAAGATTTCCAATGACCGCAAAAAACCGTTACTTGTGCACGTAAAATACAAAAACCTCTTAATGGCAGTATACTGCGAGCTATAGCTCGCCTCTTCTTTATTGCAAGCGAAAAAACTGGGGGCATGGAAAATCTCGTCACTAAATCCCCGGTCGTGTTATTACGTCTTAACTGCGATCTTGGCTCGGTTATCTCGCCGATAAGTTGCGGTAATTTGCCCGCACGTGCTTAATAAATACAAAGGGTCGTCGGGACAAAAGAGAGCGATTCTTAAAGAGGTACCACGAAAGGTTAGAGCAGCGAGTTTGGCGAGTTTACGGGTCGAATGAGGGAAAAAACGGGAACGGCAGCTGCATCCGCACGTGTTTGTTAAAGTTACACGGGGACTGGTTTTACTCGAAGCCTGCTCCCCTGACAGGGGACCGACGCCGAATTAATAGATGAGCAGTGTAGTTTCTGACCCCAAAATAAATATTTTTAGGTGAGTATGTGAGAGCTTTTACGTATGGTGCTTAAAAAACGTATGATATTTAAGGTTTCCCTCTAGTTCTACAGTTAAAGCAATCAGATTTTAATAAATTTATTAAAATTAAAATAGAAAGTTCATATCATAAAACCACAGACCACATTTCATTGTATATAAATATATTTTGTATCAATAAAAAACTGTTTGTCACGCTTTCTGCTAATGGGCTTTTCTGTTAGGTACACAATTTGACTTTGTTTTAAAATCTAATGAAATTTGAAATAATACCACTGTCTAAAAATGAATTAGTCAAAAATGGCTAATTTAATACAGTTATTAGTGGCTGCTTTTTCACTTGTACCATGGTTAACCCTGGGATACCATAGTATCCCAAAATTTAAGCCAATTCTTATGTAAAATTGTCCCCTGAATCCCAAAATACCGTCAAAAATTATGAAAGTGGAACAGTTTTTGAGATATAGTCAATTCTATATTAAATGGAAAATTGACTATATCTCAAAAACTGTTCTGTTTTGACGGTATTTTCGGATTCAGGGGACAATTTTACATAAGAATTGGCAGGTAGTAAATTGTAGGTGTACGTGGAAATATTTT